TCCTAGAAAAGCGGAAATTTGATCAATTTTATCCTCGTTTACTATACTCCGAACATTTAAATGAGCTAGAGTAAAGTTCCGTGGTGAAGGTCCAGGATTAACATGAACATCAAACGATAAACAAATTAAAATGGTATAGAATGCCAACATGAGTGCGAACACCATCGCCGAACTAGCTTATTGTTGATTTAGCATATGAGTAACAAACTACAAATTTCCAAAAGTTATAAAGCCCAATAGCTGTTCGGTAGCTTTCTAATGAATTACCCATACCATGAAAATCATAAAATCTTACCTTAGACTGCAGAAAATAGGTCAAGAGAATAAAATAAAGCGCCAAATAAGTATGGTTAAAGAATATAACAGTGCAAAAACAAAAATATATATGAAAATAAATAATGAATTCACCACAAAAGGAACAGCAACTAGTCTTCGTAAGAATTTACATCATCCTGAACCATTTCTAATTTTTGAATGTCTTCTTTGCAGCGTACTAAGTGGGTAGTCTCATCAGGTAGCTTCACAAACACCTTTCCGTCACTCGACCATGTTGCAGCAACGAAAGACGCACCGCGTGACCGCGTGCTTCATAATAGAGATCTAAATTGTAAGCAGTAAGGTCTTCATTTATAAATAATCCTGCGGCCCCTTTAAGCTTACGGCGATGCTTGATAACTTCTGCTTTGGTTCGGTAACTCTTAAACTTTACAATCATTTGGCGGTCTTTACTCCCACGCTTGCCAACTCGATGAATACGATCATATTCTGAATTTTCGATCGTTAACCCAAGCTTGCTTTGAAAAAATGTAGATACTTTTTCATAGCAGTCCTCTTCTGGGTCTTCTTTGATTCCACCGATGCGAATATTGTATTTACGCGAGTATTGTTCGTTAGCATTCGTTTTTAGCATCAAATAGTTAATATCTTTCTTTATCTTATCATTAGCCAAGCGAAGGTCAATATTTTCCTTCGAGAGTCTTTGGACTGTGTCTTGAATAGGCTTTACAATGGCGGCCAACTCATCCTTGAGTGCGTCTTTTACGAGAGTAGACATCACTTTAGTCATCGTTTCACTTGTTAGCAATTTGGCAATTTCATCTTTAATAAGAGTCCGCATTTCTTCCCTGAATTTAACTATGTCTGGAGCTTCGGTTTTATTACACGATGCCCTTGTCTTTGGAACCGCCATAACGACAGTAATACGCAAACACAATGCCCAATGGAATAATGTAACTTATTTAAAACGATCAGCACTTGGGTATAGCTGCAATCCTTCCGCAGTTAGTAGGTTTTACATATACATATATAAACCACTATAAATATAAACGATAGTGTAGTAATAATTGATAATATTTCACCAGACACGGAGCAACAAAAAACGTGACTTCTCTCTTGAACTTCACACTCCAATATATTTCGGCCTCTCGCGAAGTAATCTTTGTTCGTAACCTTCTCTTTGTTCAGGGGTCATCATTGCCAAATCTTGGGGCCTCCAATCTGTAGAGTCTACCCAATTGTGGAAAAAGTTGTACTTGAGTTTTGGCCGTTCCTCTTCTGTTGGTGGTGGTGTAAGGAAATTATGTTTAGGAGTCGCAGGCACTGGTGTTGGTATTTCCGTTATTACAGGCGTAGGAGGCGCTTGTGATGGTATCTCTGCAGGCACTAGTGGAGTTGTCAGAACAGGAGCTTGAGCAGGGACATCCATCTTATTTTTGAATGTGAGAAACCGATGTAGTTGATCAGAGTATAATTTGCTTTTTTCCACTGCGCTAAGCTGTGGTGCATCCATGATTTCTTTCATTCGCTGCTCGGCATCATACATGGCATTTACAAGTGGTGGTTGTCGATACGACTGTTTTTGTATAAACTTTTCAATCTCACCGGGAAGTACGTTTGTCTTGAGTCGATCTTGGTCACTCGTTGTCGGCTTTAAATCCAACATCAAATACCCGTGAGGCCGGCTCGTAGCATCTTCATAACTCCTCATAAACTCTTGTACTTTGACGGGATTTATTTGCCTTGCAAGTATAGAAATTTGTTGTTTATCTCTTGGTGACTTGAATAATACGATATAATGCACGTTTAGACTAATATTTTTCATTTCTTTGCCCTGATGAAATATATTTTGGACAATATAGATGACAGACAAATTTCGATGATGACTTCCTTTCGTAAAAAGATCAGAAATACGTTTATCTTTGCCAGATTGAGCCATAAGTTCATCCAATACGATCAAATTCCGTTGCGATACGTCCAAGTAATCCGCATTGTCGATATCTTCGGGGATGCCTTCATTAAACTCGATTCCAGGCATTATCCTCATCATATCAAAATAGGACGGTTGCCATTGACCATAACACCAAATGATACGTTGAGGAGTAGGACTTATAGTCGTTTGAGCATTCTCCAAGAGAGATTTCACCCATACGGTTTTGCCGCTTTGGGTACATCCTGCAACGATGCATGTAAAGGGATGCTGCATGACTGTAACCCCATTCACCGTGAGAGTTTGCTGCCCAAGATTACGAGTTCCATATGCATGGACAACCTTCTTGTGGCGAAAGAGATTACTCGCATTTGCAAACGTTTTACCGCAGATGTCGCATTCATAAGACATGTTTACTTCTCAAGAGTCAGTGTAAAATGATTTAAAGCAAGAGTGAAGAGGTGTATTTATCCCGTTGGTTATTGTCGCGTCTATGAAGACTATTGTAAAGACTATGAAAGCCTATAGTCCTGACTATGAAAGACTATAGTCCTGACTATGAAAGGCTATAGTCCTGACTATGAAAGACTATAGTCCTCACTATGAAAGAATATAGTCCTGACTATGAAAGACTATAGTCCTGACTATGAAAGACTATAGTAAAGACTATGAAAGACTATAGTAAAGACAGACTATATATATGTGTGTGTGTGTAATTAATTAACTATATCAAAACTAATTACGGGGAGCACCTCGCATGGGACTTTTAGTGTCCCGTTTGTGCTTTTCCGTTTGAGTGTATCTACTAATTTGTGATTTGTGACGTGTGTTTTGTCTTTCGTTTGTCAAGTTTTTATCTTTGTACCTGATATAGCACGTATGTAGATTGCTCAATAAATTCATTAAATAAATAAATAAATAAGACCATAGTCGTGACTATGAAAGACTATAGTCTTGACTATGAAAGACTATAGTCCTGACTATGAAAGACTATAGTCCTAACTATGAAAGACTATAGTCCTAACTATGAAAGACTATAGTCCTAACTATGAAAGATTATAGTCCTGACTATGAAAGACTATAGTAAAGACTATGAAAGACTATAGTAAAGACTATGAAAGACTATAGTCCTGACTATGAAAGACTATAGTCCTAACTATGAAAGACTATAGTCCTGACTATGAAAGACTATAGTCCTGACTATGAAAGACTATAGTCATGACTACGAAGACTATAGTAAAGACTATGAAAGACTATAGTCCTGACTATGGAAGACTATAGTAAAGACTATGAAAGACTATAGTAAAGACTATGAAAGACTATTGTCTAGACCTAATCTATAGAGGGCGAGCCGATCCTTATATATGTGTTATTTCCAACTAAATCTTCATTCCGTTGCTGACTGCCGAACAGAGATGACTAGCAATTATTTGAAACACAGACCATTTGTAGAACTCTTATGTACTTCTCATCCAACTCAACAGCAAGCTCTTCTTAATTCTACATCAGCTGAGCAAATTCGATGCTTGTGTCATTGTATAGAAAATTTCACATACTCTAAAGAAACAAAGGACAAACTCAGACCTTTCGAACAAAATCTAGCTGATTTAGCAGACAGAGATAGAAATTTTAAGACGAAAAAGGAAATTCTTGTTCAGCGGGGAAGCGGCTTTCTGGGATTGGTACTTGGACCACTTTTAGAAGGCCTTGCAGAATTAATATAAAATAAAAAGTATGAAGGACATCTCCTCATTCCAATCATGGATAGCGACAAACGATCATCTCCTGAACAGTGGAGACTTGAAGACATTCTCAAATATCTTGACGTTGATGATGAACACGAAGCCGAAGAAATCCTTCATTCTATTTTAACCTCTACGGAGATTTTGACTTGGAATGGAAAAGGAGAAATCGTTTACAGAGGACATAATATACGAGGCACTGACATTGTAGACCTTCTGAAATATTGCGTGACGCCTTATCATCCAGATATTCCCGAACCAACTGGATTGAGTATTTTTATAAAAGGTCTTGCAGAATTGGAAATTGATAAAAGCCTAATCTTAAATGGACATGTCCTTTCTGTGTTAGCCCACAAGTGGTCCCGTCAGGATACACAATCTGATGCTGACGCAACTTGTAACAGTTGTAACAAAGATATATACATCTCCCATTTGAGTACGTGCCCCGTATGCACATGGACAGATTTTTATCCGAATTGTAAAAACTGTCGCTGTATGATCTGTGATTTTCAAGTGTCCAAAGGAGATTTTACACATGTAATCACCAGCTGCCCACATTGTCGCCGAGGTGAAATTATAGATATCAGAACGGATGAAAGGCAGTCCTTTAACCATAAAATAGGCGACCAAAGTGATATTTGATTAGTTGACTGCGTGAAGTTGAACTGAACACATCAACATGCCGAGAGGTACACTTGTTGTAGACGAAAAACTACTGAGAGACCATTTCTTGAGACAGCAGCGTGGCGGAAACATCGCTGGGTATCGTGGTGCACGTTTTCAAAGAGGATACGGGATCGGAAGTATTTTCAAGAGCCTTGCGAGATATGCTATCCCTCTGTTCAAACAAGGCGCTAAAGTTGTTGGCAAAAGAGCATTGCAAGCAGCCACAGAAGTGGGTCAAGATGTACTCCAAGGAAAAAATGTAAGAGAATCTGTAAAGACTCACGGAGGTGACGTTGTTAAAGACTTTGCCGAACAAGGAGCAAAAGCCCTACTACAACAAGCAGGGCGCGGAAGCAAGAGAAGGCAAGGCCAACGAAGTAATTTATCAACTACAAAGAGGTTAAAACTGTGTTCTCATATAACAGTCCCAAGACATACCAAATGGATTACGGAAGATGAAAGCAGCCACGATGATGAAAGCAGCTATGATGAAGAATCTGACAGCGAAACCCCTGAAACAAGTGACGATATATATTAGAAACATAATTTTGTAAAACGTTTTGAAGAAATAAATTTAAAAACTGAAATATTGTGTAAATTTTTGCCGGCAAAGCCCGCTCTTTCCGCCAGCGCGACCCGCCCGCCTGATTAGTGTACAAATATGTTGTACGTTAATATATGCATGCACGCAAGCGTCGCTAATGACTTAGCAACAAATAACAACGTATATAACGATTACATGTTTTTATTGCAAAATATATTACAACTGTTCCAATTCTAACTTATATTCTTGATAAGCTTACTTATGATCATCTTAACAGTATATATGTATGTAGAATATTTGCTAAAATAACGTTGAACAACATGTAAATATTGACCTTAACAACGACGTTGACAACTCGGGATTAGGAACTGTTTAGTTTAAAATATGTCTAAAATATGTTTAAAATATGATTTTTGTGACGAATAGATTCCTTATTTGCCCTCGTTCGTTTTCGTTCATCATGCGGCAGTCATGTTGTCTTTGACTAGGATGACCGACTTGACAACCATTACAGGATTCCACACAAAGTCTTTGAACTTTTGGCTGCAAAGCGCTCCTGTCTTGTCTAAATCGCTTTCTCTCTTCCCGCACGGATAACCCGCGACGCCCGCGCAATGAATATCCTAATCTACCCGTATTTATCCACACAGTAGAAAAATGCAAATCTCTGATAAAAGTTAATCCTTTAATTAGTGTCACCCTAACAACACATAGCAACCGGTGTGCTTTAATATAGCTTAAAATTATTAACCTTAT